GAAAGGAAAGGAAAGGAAAGGAAAGGAAAGGAAAGGAAAGGAAAGGAAAGGAAAGGAAAGGACCCCCCAGATACACCAACTGTCACCTTGCTGAGGACTCCAGTTATAAACTAATAGTTCATTTTCTTGAATGGAAATATTAGCAAGGTTCCCCCTTCCCCCCTTTACATCTGGGCTATTCAAAAGACATGAATATAAGTATTCAAAATGGTAGACTAAATTTGTATAATTCAACTAGCATCTTGTATTTTACACAAGTGACTCATTTTGTAAATCAATAGGAATAAAGATAAGAAGAACATTGAATATACCTTAACGAAATACCAATTAAAAAGAGGGAGAGTGGGTGACCAATTGAATTCGTAAACAAATAGTCCAGGTTAGTGAAGTATGTATCACAAAATATCAATCAGTTTGATAAAATCTGTTTTAGAAGCAAAATGGTTGCTAAAAGAAGTCCTTCATCTTCTTAGATATGCTTCTTTTAAATGTGGTGAATCAGTGAAGTGTACAGAATGCCTTAGTTTAGAATAAGCTAAGCATCCTTCAAAATCTATGGCAGTCAAAGAATCTGGATATAGCTATGCCTTTAATGTATAGCTTTCCCTTTCATGGGAAAAGAAAATCAGCTTATGAACATGAAAAGCTACCTGAATGAACATTTGACTTGTCAGCTTCCTCCAACTGCCACAATCTAAAGCAGTTTTTCTAATATATCTATATCTATATGTATATGTGTATGTATGTATCTAGGTGTGTGTGTGTGTGTGTGTGTGTGTGTGTAGGTAGGTAGGTAGGTAGGTAGGTAGGTAGGTAGATAGATACATACATACATACATACATACATACATACATACATACATACATATATTTGCTTTAAAACATGAAAATGCTATCCCCCTCAAGAAAAGGAAAAATAAAAATCACACAAAGAAGCAGCTTGGTTTTTAACAAAGCATTTAATCTTGATCACATAGATTAATATTGGTCAATCTTTCCATTAGGTCAATAGAGAATCAATTCATATGGATGGAGCAAGCACATACCATCAGTCAAACTTTACAAGGCCAGGATGAAAGTGTCCTTCTGCTGTAACATAACTATCTTTTTCAAAACACAAGTTACAAAAAATCCAAAGTTCTTCATTTCTTGATAAATTCCAAATTTTCAATATTGAATTCAGCATCAATTGAACATCTTTAAGTTTAATTCCTCTTCCCAAAACCACATTAAACTAAATATTACAGCAGTGGGACAATTCTATGCCAAATCTTTAAGTGCCCCTTCCATCATTTAGATAGTAATTAACATTTATAAGCATTGGGAAGACTCACTTAAATATTGATTGTTTTCAGATGAAGAGTTTGCATTGCAGAGTTGTATGTTATCAGAATAAAACTTATAAATATATAAAGAAAAAAAAACCTGCATAGAAAAGACTTGCGCATTTATTTTTTTAGCATTCTCCACATAGCCTCTTGGATGTCCTTGTTCCTGAAGCTATAAATGAGGGGATTGAGTAGTGGGGGCAAAACTGTGCAGAGAACAGCAGAGAGCAAGTCCAAAGTAGGGGAGGAAAGACTTTGGGGCCTCATATAGGCAAACATAGCAGAGCTCAAAAATAAAGAAAAAACCATCATGTGGGGAGTACATGTTGAGAAAACTTTATATCTGCCTTGAACTGAAGGGATTTTTAGCACAGCAGAGAGGATGTAGCCACAGGAAATAAAAATGAACCCACTACAAAATGAGTCTGCAATAATCCCTACAACCAAAATCAGTATTTGAGTAATTCTGGTATTAGTACAGGAAATCTTCTGTAAGTGAGGGATGTCACAGAAAAATTGCTGAATCCTATATGACCTGCAGAATTTCCATTGAAATATGATTACAGTTTGTAGCAATGCATGCATCATACAGGTGAACCAGGAAGCAGCTGCCATTTCCATACAAGCATTCCAGTTCAGGATGAGACTGTATCGCAGGGGATGGCAGATGGCCACATAATGGTCATAAGCCATGATGGTGAGCAAGGCAAGTTCAGAACCTGCAAAGGTCAAAACTGAGAAGACCTGAGCAGCACATCCAACATAAGAAATCATTTTGTTGTTTGTCAAAGATGTGGCCATGGCTTTAGGAATCATCGTTGAGATGAAGCAAACATCAAAGAATGACAAATTGACCAAAAAGAAATACATGGGAGTATGAAGGTGATGATTTAGGATCACAGCAACTACAAGAAGGAGATTTCCAATTAAGGTTATTAAGTAAATGGCAAGAAACACCACAAAATACAGAATTTGCATACCACGATCATCAGAAAATCCCATCAGAAGGAAATCTGTCACAGTGGATTGGTTGGCCATTGAGTTTCTCTGACTCCTCCTAGGCAGAAAGAGATGATCATAGGCAATTAATAGAGGAAAGAGATATGGCTACAGAGTTCTTCATACTAAAAATGAATATATGCATACTATTAAATTACTATTATCACAGGGTTTGCAATATATTCAGTATCAGGGTTTCCCATTCTTAAAATTACAAAAGAGCACATCACACTTAAAAAAATGCACCCAATATTTCTGCCCTTTCTACATTATATATGACAAAGCATATCAAATCCACTTTTGTCAGAATGGATTACAATGACAAAAAGAGATATTTTACAGAAGGAGACCATAATAATGGTAAAAACAAAATAAATGGAAGTTACAGAAAACTTTGATATGTTATGGCTGGTTTGTAAGAAGGTTTTTTTTTTTTTTACTAGTGATGAATGTACTAACTATAAACAGTGAAATGTACATATATTTCTCTTTCTGTCACTTCCTTCCCATTTTCCCCAGGTACATGAATAATGCAGGTTTTTATTTTTATTTTTTTAAAGAAACTGCAAACAAGATAGAAAATGAATACATGTGACTTTTAGGGAGCATTACTTTTCCCTAAGTATTTTCACTTTTCTTAAAATGAATAAGGAACTAAATAATGTTTAATCATTTAATATGTTTACAGGAAACATTTATGGCTACATTTGGGGGGATGAGAGAGATTAGGAGCTCTTAATGCTAAAGGTTTCTATTAAACTATAAGTTTTCTTAAGTTAAACTGGATATAGGATTGCCATCCTGTGCTTCACAGATACACACAAACATTCATGAACATCTTTATTGAGTATTATTGTACAGTCCTCCTATATCTTATAGATATGTCTGTGTGATATATGTTCCCTGAATTCATTGGAGCCCACTATAGCATATGATACTATAATCAGAGCATTATCATGTGTTTACCGAGTCAATTTTCTAAAAAAAAAAAAAAAAAATTGTAAAAAAATAATCAATGGAAGTACTTTTGTATACTTAGAAAGAGCTCTTTTTTAGTACTATGACATCATGAGTTTTGATGTAGCTGACATATATTCCTTAATAAATCAATTCTAATCTCAGCTAATTCCTCTTAGCATCAGATATAATGCAGGTAATGCTTGAAAAAAAACACATACATTCAATATCATTCATTCATTCATTCATTCATTCATTCATTCATTCATTCATTCATTCATGTCTATCTATATCTCTATCTCTCTCTCTATCTCTCTATCTTAACAGGGATGCAGAACTTCTTTACTTGGATGTTATATCAGGTATTAAAGCTGATCGATAGATCTGTGAAAATAGCAGTACAATATCACCCTAAATAAAAATCATGTTCAGTCAAAAAGGGGATTTTTACAACAGTATAGAGCGTGGTTTTCCTGTAACCAATATTGTTATTTGATAGTTAAAATCCTGAGCACATAGGAATTGTGGTCTTTACTTAAATGTTCTACTTACTGGTATTTTTGTTGTTCTCTTGAAATATGCTTGAAAGGTGTCTGTACAAATCCACCTGTGGTTTTCCGCCATTTTATACATTCTAACTCCCTGCTAAGAAGGACTGAAAGAAAGAACACTTATGTCACCCTAGTCTTCTACTGTGCTTCAAGGAGTCACCCCCTGGAGATTGATCATAACTCTCATGCTGAATTAGAAGTCTAAATTAGGAAACAAGAAAAGGACTGATGATCATCTGCTAACTATCTTTCCTCTAT